ATAATTGATGCTTGTACTCACAGTTACAATAAATATCATTCTCATTTATATGAATGTATCTGCACTACAATTTTTCATACAGTTGAATATAAAAAGATGAGAGCTTTGATGATGCTCAAATTAGATATCGAAATTTTCTAAGATTTAGTTCTTTATATAGGAAAGAAAGATGTTTTTATAGTTAACGTAATTCACCGTATTAGAGCTATCGACTTGTCTAATTCAGTTTGATTAAAAATATTTAGGCAGAATATTTAACAACTTTATTAAAAGAACGTTTTTCAAATATGTTTTGTATTAACATATTACTAATGATTTCAATAAAAAAAACGTTATAATGAATTGAAAAATTACGCTAGTGGGAAGGAAATTTTAATATTCAAATATTATTTCCTATTGCATGTCTTTTCTAACCATTTAATGTATGTTTATAGTGTCACGCTATGTACCAATATATATATACAGATATATTGTAATAACAACCTCTTCTTTGTTCTAAAAGTGATTTATTGCTTAAGACCATAAATCATAGAATGTAGTATTCCTTAGTTTCGCTCGATGTCTGCATTAACGCAAAGAGAGAGAGAGAAGAATAGATTAATCATGTTCATATTTAAGTGTGCACAAAAATATCGTTGTCATCGTCTTTTTGACAAACGTTAATGTAAAGGTAAAAAGAACTTTTTTCCCTGTCACTCAGCTATTCATTGATATTAATAAGTAAACTAATGAAAGAAAAGTCGAACGGCCAACAAAACCCCAAGCGATTTATATTTTTCTTGTCTTAGTAATGAGATTAAAATAGAAAACGTCGTTTGTTAAATTAATATCCGTTATCAAGTTTAAATCGAATGGAAACCGATGAAACTGTTGATCTACATGCTTCTTATCAATTTCAATATATTTATACTATTAAATTATTAGTTATTAGAAATTTTGACTAATAAGTTTTAAACAGACATTAAAATACGTGGAAATTGACAATTATTTACATATCCTGAGGCTAAAGTTAATTTAGAATATATTAAAAAGATGAGAAAAACTTGGCCGAATTGCTATCGATATAAATGAGCAAAACGTTCTGCAACATTGCGTACTAAATACAATATAACATCAATCATCTGCGATATAAAACATTTAATGGTTTTAAATATTAAATACCTTAAAAGCAAAGAGTACCTGTTATATTAAGAATGTTTTAATTCAACTGCATTGCGTTCATTCAACAAATAGCCATTTTACAAATTATTGATTAGTCAAACATTATCTTTGTCATCCTCGTCAGTAACCTAAATCGAAATCAATTCATTCAACATTATTATCTGACTGATGCTAGATATGTACTTCACTTATAAAGATTAATTCAGTTTTTAGTTATTTTGAATATATACAAGATAATCATTACACTAAAAATAAAGATTTCTTATATCTCATTGTAATTTTCATGATAATTAGTTTAGAATACATTTTATCTATTCACACCTATTTCTTTCACAAATAACTACACTCAACTTATGTTAGTATCACAAACTATACAAACAAAATAATGCTTAGATCCACAAGCAAATCATTAACTATTTCTTCATTTTCAAATCAAACTCTTTCCATATATATATATATTAATTAGTTTAGACAAAAAAGAAGAAACTTTTGATTTGCAAAACTTGAAACTAATAAATAACTGCGCATGATGTCAAAAACATAGATGTTGCTTATTTCAACTACATTCAGTATTATTATTATTATTTCAATTATTTATAACAATGAAAACAATTCATAGTTCTATCTTCACAATAACTATATCTAATCTCACAGATTATCATTCTTATTTTAAATATAGGCTACAAACCTATTGACTTTGGATCATGTCTCTTTTTGTCTCTGTTATATTTTTGTTGTATAATCTTATTAGTCATAAACATATATGCTACTGTCTGGAATAAGAGAATGAATATTTTCTAGGTTCACATAAGAGAACATCGACAGATGGAAGAGATGATTTCATTTAGTTAGAAGCAG